TTGGTGGTTTCACACTTTAGTCCCACATTGTCAAATGTTCAAAAATCATTCTTTCCTCAAATATGACCAATCTCAGCTTGTGAAACATGTTTTATCTGATGTATAGAGGGTTTGTAGCATGAAAGAACAAAAGAAATGCATAAAGTATGAAATTAGCCAAACTTGCAAGTGGCTTGCAAGTTGCCTTGCAACTTGCATTTAAAGTGAACATGGCAAGCATGAGGTGTAAAAGCAATTATGAACCAGCCACAAGCCTACACCTTCTAGCCTGAATTTAGCCACTTCAAATTCATCATGAAGCTTGACTTTGGAGCTTACCTATCAGCCAAGGAAACCTCTTTGTGGAGGTTTGATCAAAAAGGTAAATCTTTCCTTCATGTGAAGGAAATCTCCAAATCTTCCCCCTCCATTCATTTGCCTATAAATAGAGGCCCTCACCACTTCATTTCACACACAATATATACTCTAAAAAACCAGAGAAAGCTCAAGCCTTTGCTCTTGCACACTTTGCTTCAAAATCACAAAATCACATTTCCACCAAAAACCACCAAAATCTGTCTTGGTACAATTGCTGCCAAAATCATTTCTCTACACTCAAACTCCCAAAAAATCATCCACACAATCTCTAAATATGATATAGAAGGTTTCCAAGACCTTAGACCACTCAAAAACCTCACCATTCAAAAGGTCAACTTCCATACCAAGTTACTTTGACCAAAAGCCACAAAATCTGTCAAAACTTGTTCTAGGCATTTGCTTGATGTTCTAATCACTCAAACACCTCACATGTATCATTTATCAACTGTCTAAAGTGTTAAGGATCATTGGTGGAGTTTATTTCTCCAACTGTCTTGAAGTTTGCATCCTTGCTTCAAAAAGAAGAAATCTCTAAAGCTAGGTGCATTTGAAGTTTTCTCTGGGTTTCTTATTAATCAAACCTAATCAACACAGTCTACTAGAGGTATGTAAACACTCCATCATTGCTTTACACCATAATTTTATGTTTTGGAATTTTGAGTTCATCATGTGTATGTCTTGTATCAATTCTGCCATGAACATACCAACTGTGATCTTAGGCCTAGAGGTGGTTAAATTGGTGCTCAAACTCATCCAACATCATGTATTCAATATGTGTGTAAAGTTAACTTGATAAATATTGCTTAAAATGTTGAACTGCACTTTTTCATGTTTGCATTTAAAATGACCAATTTGCAACTCAACTTTCATTTTTCATGACAGTCCTCTCTTAGCTTCAAATTGTGTTTGAACTCATTCAATATCATGTATGTGTGGTGTGTATATGGTTAGTTTAGTCTAAAAATGTTTGGAATTGAATTTGAACATCTTCGTGCATTTCACAACCTAACTTTGCAACTTGACAGCCAATTTTTTACTACAGCATGATTTGAACTCCACTTTATGTTTGAACACACTTATCTTCATATATATAACTTGTGTACATGACTAGATTGATCAATATGTGACTAGAATCAAAACTGAACATCATGTTGCTTTTCACTTGTCAAAACTTGCACTTTGATCACCATTTTTCATATCAGCCCTGTTTGAGCTTTTTTTCTTGCTTGAATTCATTTGTTTGTATATATGAGAGATGTGTATGTGATTCATATGGTCAGAATATGCTTGAATCTGGTTTTGAACATCCTACTGCATCATCCTAATACCAAAGGGCAACTTAAATGTCATTTTTTGCTACAGCCTGTTTTGAACCAATCTTGGTGTTTAGAACCATTTGTTAACATATTTTCAAGATGTATATGTGACTCACTTGGTGTAAATATGCATAAAACATGAATTGTATTCTTTGGTGCATCACACATGATAAGTTTGCAACTAAGTGGCCATTTTCACCACAGACCATTTTAGGCTTGTTTTCTTGGCTTAAACTCACTCAATACAATGTATGTGTAGTGTGTATATGTTTCATTTTACCTAAATATGTTTGGAATCAAAACTGAACCTCATCATGCATCTCACATGACAGTTTGACAGCTTGCATACCATTTCCTATTTTAAACTGCTCTGATCTGAAACTCTTGATTGAATTCACTCATTATCATGTTTTCAATATGTATGTGCATTTAATCCAATTTGAGACTGCATAGAATCAGAACATAATACCCTTATGCATCCTGTTCATGACATTTGCAAATTGAATACTCTTTCTCATAACATCTTGTTTTCTATCTGAATTTGTGTTTAGATTCATTCATGAGCATTTGTATGGTGTGTGTATGTGATTGGAATGATGTAAAACTAGCTGGAATTAAATTTGAACATCCTCATGCACACCACAAACACAAATTTACAACTTGAGCATCACTTTCTGTCACAGTTTGTTTAGGCTCAATCTTGGTATTCAAAATCATCCATCATCATGTTTATAGTGTGTGTGTGTGTGTGTTTGGTTTGAGTTGGAAATGAGTAGAATAGGTCATGAGTTCCAAATTGCATTTTCAAACATCCAAAGGTAAGTGCTATCGGGTTTTAAAATGGGGAGGGAATTTCAAAAATCTAAAAATACCATCTTGTTCCTTGTGAAATTCCACATGGTTTAGACTAAAATTTCACCCAAATCCATGGAAAATTGAAGAAGTTGTGACCAAAATGCAAAACTGACTTGGTGTGTGTTTGGTTTGCTCAGCCTGCCTAGAAAATATGCCCTATATGTTTATGGGGTGGCATTTGTACTTGGATGTACAACCACCCCAGTGGTAGTCACCTTGTCACCTAAGCGCCTTGTACCTTGTGAACCTGGGTTCGACCCCTGAGGAAGACAACCCTTTTACCAATTTTTGTAATTTTTCATCCCAATTTTCAAAAATTCATATCTCACTCATTTTTAATCATTTTTCACCCATTATTTTTGCATTGTGTTTGTTTTGATGTCTACTTTCATGCCATATTTTCAAATTCCATGTTTGCCTAATTTTTCATCCCTTTTGGCTATTTGCAAGTTAGGTGCATTTTACGATCGTTTTCACATGTGCAGATGAATTTCTCTCTTGTTGTAATTGTATATGCTTATGTTTTGCTTGCCCTCATATCCTTAGATATTAGTTAACATGCTAGGATTTTTATTAGGTTGTTACCATGTTCATTTTACCTCATCTGTTGAATTTCCTTAAGCTCGATTTGTCGTCACACTTCTTGCTTAATCATCTGCTTTGATTGTCATCAATGCATCTTTGCTTTATCTTTTAAACATACTCATTCAATGGTTGTCACCATGCTCTTTATCTTTATCATATTGTTACTGTGCTTATTGTTTTCTTTCCCCCAAGTGATGAAGCTTGTTAGCTCTCATCCCAGTTGCCTCCTCCCTCTCTCTAGAGGAAAAGGTCTTTCCATTGACCTTCATGTCATGTATAGCTCATTCACCCATCCCTTGACTTTGTTAAGTCACTTTAACCTTAGTTTAGAAACCATTAGACTTTGCCTTAAGTCTAAAAGACCTACCTATACTAGGAGTGTTCTTCAACTAGAACTCTAGGATAGAGTTTGTCAACTCTATGTAAGGATCATCGTCATGATTTCTTACTTCCCCTTTTGAGTGTTACAAATTAGATTAGGGAGTTTTGTCAAACTCCACACAAGCATTGTCATGTTTGTTCCCCCTTGAACCTTGATCATAATCAAGTGTTCTTCTTCCCTTGTGAGGCGAACTACGATTGCTTTGATTCTATCCTAGTTAGGATACGTAGGCAGATGACGCGACGTCTTTGCGAGCATACTTAGTGTATATAACTTTAGGTTTTAACTTATACTTTTTCCCAATCCATAGCACATTTCACAAACTTAGCAAGCAATCAAACAAAAGGTTCCTGTAGAGTACTACAGATGCTTAGGGTGCTAACACCTTCCCTAGGTATAACCAACCCCCGATCCCCGAATCTCTAAGCGTTGTCGTTACATCGCGAAAAGGGTTTTTCTTTCTTTAGACCTTTCCTTTGGATAAAATAAAGTTCGGTTGTAAAAGAATTAAGATTCAAGTTGATTTAATAGCTTGATATCCAATTTTCACCGCAACAACTGCAAATTCATTTTTCTATGAGAGAACTAAGCATATAGAAATCAATTGCCATGTAGTGAGAGACAATGCAAAAATAGGAATACTACATTTTCTTTCTATTGCATTAAAGGATCAAATAGCTGACATCATGACCAAGTCACTGCATGTAGGGTCATTTAACAACCTTTAAAGCAAACTATGAATGATGAATATATTCTGAGGATGATGTTAAGCATGAAGATAAGTAATGGTTGGTACATTTACTTGTGTATTAGAGAAGCAGTTATACACGTGCTTAAACCTCTTAGCAACCATACACGTGCTTAAGAAGCAGACTTAAACATCATGACATCATGATAGCAAGTCAACTTGTAACTAATTTCTTATAGGTTGTTACAGATGGTTGAGTTAGTTAGTCATGATAACTCATTCTAGATGACATAAATATGGTGTGCTTGATCATTGTATGATTATATTTATTGTAACTTTTTTTTTTCATTATGCAATGCAAGCTATTCTCTTCATTTCAATGGTGTTCTTGCATGTGGTTGAGAGTTAATTAGCCATGATAACTAATTCTAAATGATATAAATATAGTATGCTTGATCATTGTATGATTAAATTTATTGTAACTCTTTCAAGCTATTCTCTTCATTTTAATGATGTTCTTGCTTTAATTTTCACATATAACAAATAGTAGACAATATCACTCACACAAATAATTGACTGGGGCTTCATTTTCCTTTATTACAAGTCGCAACGAAAGGAAACTTACAAAATAGTGACGACGATAATAAACAGTATAGAAATTCAAAATATCTATTGCAATCTTCATAGATCAAGAACAAAAGAATCTACACACAAAAAATTGAATCATTCTATCCAAAATAACGCCAATAAGAGGAAGAGTATAATAACCTCGATACAAATGAAATTAAGTATTCGTATACAAATACAACAACAACTACTAGTATACCGCGTAATTATACTGATTTCTCCGTAGATTCTGTTTCCGTTTCTTGTACACCATCCCTGCCAACATAAGCACGCTCGCCGCCACTATTATTCCGATCGCTATCCCTGCTTTCTTGCTTCCACTCATTCCTTCTGCCGACGAATCATCTGTTTTCTCGTCAAGACCGATGTGGTTTATTAAAGTAGAATCCTCCGGCGAAGGAGCCGGAGTGGAAACTGGACTCGGATTTAATGGAGGCGGCGCTGGCGGTGATGAATCTAGAGGCGAGTTGGATGGAGGATAGTATGGTGATGGAGTGTCAGCCGATGACGGTAACAGTGATTCCGGCGATGGAGACGGAGATGGAGTGTCAGCCGATGACAGTGATGGTGACCGTGATTCCGGCAGTGGCGGAGGAGATGGAGTATCAGCCGACGGTGATGGTGACTCCGGCGATGGAGACGGCGAGGAATCGGTGTTCACATGAAGTGAAAGACTGAGTAGCATGAGAGAGAGAAAAGATAATCTTGCCATTTCCATTAGAGAGAGAAAATGAAAATGGAAAAAAGAAAGAAAAGAAAGTGGATCTGAAATATAGAAACGAAGAGAAAGAGTGGAAACTGTTTGAAGGAAAACGGTTAGGAAACGGTTAACGAGGGAAAATCTGAAATCGGAGGGTCTATATTGAAAGAATCGCAAAGTGAAATGATATGAGAATGTGACACGTGGCTTTGTAAAAAGTGCGCGATTCACTGGATTGAATTGGAAATGAAGTAAAAGAGTTGAAGATTAGTTCTTACGGATAAGTGAAATGCAAAATGCAATGCAAATGAAAAGAGTTTGTGTAATGGAAAAGAGAAGTGAAAGTGATTTTTATGCATTTGAACACGCATTTATAAACATTTTTAAAGAGATGGTAAAGGTAGTTTCGCTTTTCATGCAATTCAAGGAAGAACTTTACATTTTCTTTGTGTTTATTAAAATTAAAATGTACTATGTATGTAACCATGGTTTGTGATATATATTATATTATATCTAAATTAATAGTATAAGAAACAAGAGAAAAATAAAACTTCGTTGATTCTCATTTCCCAAACGACATGTTGGTTTAAAGTAATAATGTGAAGCTATCATGCATGGCATCGATAGAATGTAATATAAATTATATATCTTTTATAGTGATCTTAAAATATACTTAATAAAATCAATTTCTAACTAATCACAACTACCTTCAAACTTTCTTAATCAATATAACTTATTCTAATTAATATGAATGAAAGTAAGAACAGGAAAATTACTGCACTTGATAAGCTGAGTATATATATATTATACCTTCCAGATGCAATTGTTATAAAGGATTGGATGGCTAGTTCAACGAATTTGAACTAGAGATTAATAGAGCTGGATGAGTTAAATGTTGATGGTTGTTGTATACTTCTATATTTAGGAGGAGATGAAATCTAGAGCTTGATAAACTTATTTTAGTGAGTTCAATAAAACTTAATATATGGGGTGGGGATTAAGCTAAATATCCGGATTAAATGGGGATTATTTTTATTAAAGCCTCAACTGAAAACGCTAAATACTCAAGTTTAATATTACATTTGTTTCAAATGTGTCCACCCTTCCCCTTCTTTACCTCTTTTAAAGGCTTGGAGAGAGGAGTTGGTGATTGTTCTTCTCTAAGTCACTATGTCAGAATCAATCTGATCATAGCAGTATAAATAGAAACATGAGATTTAACTCTTCATAGTTCATCCTTCACATCAGTATTGCTACTTTGGTTCTCTTTGGTATCAGAAGATTCAGAACTCTCCTTGGCAACAGAGCCCTCTGGTTTAGGAGTTGAGGTTGGTTTCTGGAGCTTGAATGGGATCGAAGCATGTTGCTTGAGGAACTTGTAAAAGGCTACCACTGTACGATCTGCCTCTACGGTAATCTGCACACACAATTAAGCAGTCACAAAATTATAAAGCATATGCAGATCTTCTCGCGCACAGACAGGAGTATATTCAAATTTATGAAAGCTGAATTGATAAAATATGAAGTGTTGTTTCACATACAGGATCAAAACTTTTGTTTCCGGCTGGGAAGAAGAGAAGAGTGGGGAATCCATCAGACTGCAAAGTCAACATAAATAGAGATTCATCAATAAGTTCTTACATTTGCATTTGAAGCAGGAATGAAATTCAAAATTTTGCAATGTCAAATTCGAATTTGGGTTTACCTTTGCCCTGGGATGCTCATTTGTTGTTCCGTCCATCTTGGCTATTACAAGAGAGTCAATACTACGAAGATGTTTTGCAAGCTTGTTGTATATTGGTTCCAAATGTTGGCAATGGCCACACCATGGAGCATATATCTGATATTCCATCAACCATTAAATTAACACGACAAGGTTGCAGAACTTTAGATGCAAATATAACTCTGTAATCTAGAGGGTCAAAGTTGTACCTCAAGGAGAACATCCTTTGATTCATCCAAGACAATTTCATCAAAATTATTCCCAACAACTATTTTCACGTCACCATCATTCTGTCACCCATGTTTGCAAACATGTTAGACATGAAACACCAAGTAAATAAAGCATAATTGTTGGCAGCAAAATCAAACAACTTACACTTTCAGGAATTGGATCTGACTTAAAAAAAGGTTTTAGTTTGTCTTCAAGGAAATCTTCCCCAAATACCTGAGGTAAAGGTCAAAATATTACTTCCAAACCTCATTGAATGAAAGAAAAAGGATTTCATACACATTCTATAACATGGCAGCAAAACTAACAGAGCCCCAAAGAAAGAGAAAAAAAGAGTACCTTAATTTTGTCAACGGTAACCTCTCCATCAAACACGAATTTTTTCCCATCATCGTTTCCAGTGTATCCAAGTACCTGCATTGGAAAATCCACTGATTACTTAAATATACTTCCAAGTGATTCAAAGGATGCAATATGTAAATTTGATGAATGTCATGACTTATCATTCAGATAAAACTTAAAAAGGGAAGAAGAAATAATTACTTTTGGAGCAGTCCCGCTAATACCAAAGTATTCTGAAACAGGCTTTCCAACATCTTCGTTATCAGTTTCCACAAGCACAAAGATCAACTGCAATGGATAAGTGCACAGTTAAATCATTCATTCTAGAAAAAAAATCAAACGACCCAAATGCTCAACTTTCATGATTTTATAAATGGAGGCATGTTCGGCAGATTCAATACTCATAACGGCCCACTAATCAGTATACTACACCTGATTTCTTGTGGAAAGCAAGAAAGTCAATTTTATTTTGACATAATAATTAGTTATGTCTATGAAAATATACCTTTCCCTTGAAAGACTTTGCTGCTTCCTGAAATACCGGGAGGAATTTCTCTGAATCATTTGAAGTCACAAACAGCAACACCTGGAAAAAAAAGTTTCAAACATGTAACAATCATTGAAGAACAATGTGATGCCATTTCTCAAGAACAATTTGCTAATGACATTAAAATTATAATAAGATACATCTCATAAACAATCACCTGTTTCTTGATTGGATTTTCAAAAACTTCTGGAGCATTTTCTCTTGTAAAAACTGTTACCAAAGGAAGCTTGTTGGAGGAGACAAAGTCTGCTATTGCAGACTTGCCGAATTGGCCATCTGCAAAGACAAGGTGAAAACACATCAAATTTGCAACTAAAAAGAAAAGAATACAGACATAAGAAAGAGAAAAGTAAACAAACCAAAATGGTTCAGTTTTTCCTCCTCTTTCTTGATAAGGATCAAAGCCGGGCGTTTCACATTAACATCAAGATGGAACAGCTTTGCCACTTCAGGATCCACAGTCTGATAAAAACTGACATCATCCTCAAGTCGTGAAGCCGCAGCTAGCTCCTCACTCTCAGGACCCTACATATTGTGCATGACATAATTAGTAACACACAACAATCAGCAATGTCATTCACTCCATAGAATCAAATCAACAATGGCAAATGTCTTTTATGGTCAACTCATCGAAAACAAATTTGCCGATTGATCATAAAATAAAGCAATCAAGCAACACATCTTACTACAACAAACTTATCTAATCACGATGAGTAACATACGCAAACATCAATCTAACAAACCACTTAAAATCAACATTTAACTTAAGGAACAAGAAACAAATCAACAAGTCTTACCACAACAAACTTCTATAATCAAATTAATAGCATATGCAAACATCAATCTAACATTTTAACATAAGGAACAAAACTATAAAATCTGATAACAATCCACTTGCTTTTACTTACAACTAAAGAATTGAGGAAACCCAAAACAACTTTGGTTTCAGAGGCCAATATACTTTGAGCTTCATCCAATGAAGTAACGTTATGTATACCAGGTCCTGTCTTCTTCTTGATCCATGAAACTATAGCTTCTCTGCAAAACAACGAAACAAAATAAAATATTTTCAGATCCAATAAAATTGAAAAAAGTATGAACTGAAACTGAAATTGAAAGAGAAAATATTAGAGACTATTACTTGGTTCTTTGTCCAGAATAAGTCTTGTGAACACCATCAATGAAGAAATAGATAGTAGGAAAACCCTGAACATCAAACTTCTGAGCAACCTCACTCTCTTCCGTCGCATCAATCTTCGCCAAAACAACATTCTCCCCTTTCAATTCAGTGGCAGCGGCGGCATACTCCGGAGCCAAAGCCTGACAATGACCACACCACGGCGCGTAGAATTCAACCAACACGAACCGATTATTGTTGACCACGTCGGTGAAGTTGTTATCCTTCAAAACGACGACGTCCTTTTCGTTGAATTCAGGAGCTTGGTAAGACTCTTGATGCTCGTAGCCGGAGAAATCTTCTTCGAGATCGGATTCATTTTCAGCGTCGTGGTGGTGGTGCTGCTGGTGGTGTGCGTCGGTTTCGTCGGGTTCGTCAAGGAAGCTGAGATCTTCGTCGAGTTCTTCTTCGGAGAGGACGTGAGAGAAGGAAGAAAAGAAGAGAAGAGTTGTGAGGGAAAGGAGAATGAGAATTCGCATTGTGATTGTGATTACAGAGAAACGAAGCAAAACGAAGAGAGAAACAGAGGAAGAGATCTGTGACTGTGATTTGAGATTCGGTTGACTTTAAACTCAGTGTAAATGGAATGGACCTTCCCTACGACGCCGTTTACTGATCCGTTACAATTTACAATTAATCCGGGTTTTGCTGTTTTTCTTTCCTTAATTACCACAGTAAGTTTGTTTTTGGGTGAAACGATAAATAATACTAGCACATTTAATTTTGTAGTATATTTGTTGAAATTGAGATGTATGATTTATAGTTTTTTTTACTTGTTTTGTTTTGTGATTGGAATATTACTTCTTAATACATGTGAAAATAAGTTGGCCGCGGCATATTATGTCAAATTTGAGTCTGACTTGTTAAAAAATTTAAAGTCTAAGTCTGACCGTAGTTTATTATAGTCTTATTTTTAGGCCTAAGTCTGACCGTAGTTTATTATAGTCTTATTTTTAGGCCTAAGTCTGACATTTTAGAAGACTTGATTGGTCTATTAATCT